ATACCTGCCATGTTTCAGGAACATTGAACCAGGGGGTCCAATTCTACGGGCCCCCGAACAGGTTGCCCCCATCCCCAGCTCCAATGTTCTTCAAACTTGGTTGGTGTCTTGGGGAGAGGCTCCAGCAGCTACCCTGCGATTTTGGAGCCTCCCTTCCCTCCAGCCCCCAGAATATACCCTATGTTTTCGCCATTGACTTCAATGGCCCATAGGATATAATGGGGCCGAAATAGACATTCGGCTGGCCCTTTTTCAGGCCCGGCGTTCTAGTGTGGAGCCATAACTTTTTAAAGAGCTGGGGGAGTCCAAGGCCACCACCCCGCAGCTCAGGGAGGCAGGAGAACTTTTTAAAGAGCCCCTAAGAAGAGCTGGGGGAGCAAAAATGACCTCTCGCGTATGATGTCTGAGCGGCAACGCCCCTACGAGTCCAAGGGAGGCAAGGGAACGTTTTGCCCCGTCCCCCCCCGCCCGCGGGCGTCGCAGCTGCTGGTGTGAACAGCGGCGGCAGCCATAACTTTTAAAGGAGCCCCGAAGGAGAGCTGGGGGAGCAAAAATGACCTCTCGCGTTGCCGCTCGGACATCACACGCAAGAGGTGGAATTTGCCCCTGCGAGTCCAAGGCCAGCACACCGGGGCTCAGGGAGGCAAGGGAACGTTTTGCCCCACTCCCCCACGCTGGCATCGAGAACAGCGGCGGCGGCCATAACTTTTTAAAGAGCCCCAAGGAGAGTTGGGGGAGCCAGAATGACCTCTCGTGCGAGAGATAGAATTTGCCCCTTCAAGTCCAAGGCCACCACCCCGGGGCTCAGGGAGCTGGGGGAACGTTTCGACCCCCCCCACCGTGTCCCAACTGATGGCTGGTGGGAGCAGGGGGCAGGGCTTATGTGCCCGCCCCCTGGGCTCCTGACTGGCGGAGCGGTGCTCCGGTGCGCTCCGGCAGGAACCGAGGCCTGCCAACATGTACATTGTCTCACTCAAAACGTATGTTAAGTGCTTTGTTTTTTTAGATTTCCAAGCAAGCCCTAATTTTTTACGCTTGACAGAAGACTGACAGTTTTCATTACGGATGGCTCAGTTCTCATTCAGGATGGCTCAACACCAGCAGATCAACTGAATCAGAGCCTGATTGGCATAACCACATTTTCATACAGTAGTGCTTCCAACTCAGAAGGAAACAGCTGTCAATAAGGAGGGGATGGCTGCCTATCACCATGTCCTTTGGCCATCTGCCCATGGTAGCTCACATCAGTCTCAAGGGCAGATTGTTTCCAAAGTATGCCTTTCCAAAGTCCTTACCCACCACTGGTTATTCTTCCCCAAGCAAGGTAACTAGAAGTCATATCATTAGGAAGCTACCAATTCCAACAATAGTTCTAAATTTGAAGCAGGTTTTAAAGGCTGCATTAGAAAATAAAGCAGACTACCAAAAATCCTTTCTGCAAATCCTTCAGAATTCTGTCCCGTACTATGGAGCATTATTACCTCTCCACCATTTCAACAAGTTGTATAATCAAACAAGCACAGCAAGGGTTGTGATACTTACAAGAATGCCAGCTGAAATGCTACACAAGGAGATGCAGAAAGCAAAAAATATGTTCAGCGGTTTTGGAGGTAGTTGTGGAAAGACAAAAGCACTGATCAGAGTGACCTAGGAGAAAATGCAAAGTTGGAGGCATAACTTTCACACAGTCTCTTTCATTTCACAAAGGGAATAATCTTCCCCTGCCCCTCATAATGGAGGCTCAAATTCAGTATGACTGAGCCTCATGTCACTATTTTACTTATAGACAGCAGCTCCTAATTTCTTCCAGGAGGATATTCTCTCTGCCCAAATATGGAGCGGCCTTATACTGAATCAGCCATTGGCCCATCGAAGTTAGTATTGTCAGAGTGGGAGCGGCTCTCCAGGGTCTCGGGGGGGGGGGTGTCTTTCACAGAGGTCTTTCACATCACCTACAGCCTGATCTTTTTAACTGGAGATCCTGGAGATTGAACCCCGGGCCTTCTGCATGCCAAGAAGATGCCTTCCATTTAAGGTTATGAGTGCACAGTCTTCCTTTTTTTCAAAAACTCAGAAGCAGATGACAAATAGCGTAGCCTTACAGCTGTCCACAAACAACTGCTAAATCATCTATTCCCATCAACCAAACAGAAACAAAGAACCAGCATTTTAAAATCACCGCCCCTCTCCCCCCTGCTACACTAGCTGGGAAAGCACCTCTGCTAATGAAACACCCTGCAGGATCCACTCAACAGTTACTAGGGTTAACTAGGTAGATTATTTGTCTGGGACGTACCCAGAGAAACAAGGGTTTGCATCAAAACATTTCCTTAGTGTATTTCTCTCTGAGGGCCTCTGAGCGGAGTGGTCAATTTGGTTCTTGGCTGTTCTTTGCCAGGTCCAACAGGGAGAGCTTGGCCAGGTAATTGTTGGCCATTTGCTGATGCCAACACCCCGCAAACAATTCAACATTCCTCCAGTTCAGGAAACTTGGTTGCAAGCTACTGGCTAGCAGCAGCTGAATAACATCTCACTGACTTTGTTCTTCTCTTTGCTCCAAGGAGCTAAAGGCCTGAGGGTGCCCAGAGGCCAAAGTGCTCGTGTCCTCTGCTGTGACAAAGCTGCAGGATAAGGCCCAATCAGCTAGCAGAGACAGCATACTCAGAAACCATGCCCTCCCCTCCCTAGTTGTATTGTTTTTCTGCAGCGTTAGCTGCTTTGGGTCACCGGTGGGGAGAAAAGTAGGATATAAGTAAAGGTTTGTGGGGGGGGGGGGATTAGATTGTTACATATGTGTCACTTAGTGCATATAGCCATACACTAAGGAAGCCAAATTCTGGAACCAGGGGAATAGAAATGGGCAATTGGCTGGTGCATTTCCCCTTTGATGAAAACCCACAGTGTCTGGGGCTCTGGGGTGGGGGGAAAAGACACAGTGGTGGTTCTGAAAGTTAGCCGTGGGGGAAAGAAATATTTCATCCTCTTATCTCACTGAACTGTGGCTCACTCATGAGGCACTCAGAGGCAGGATAAGGCCATGGCTGATGGTGCAAAATCAGGTAAAAATATATATTTTATATTACTCAGCTAAAATTCCCAAAGAATTCCCTACATGTTTTGCCAACAAGGCTTTGCCAGGGGAATCTGTAATATATAATATACAATTATACCACTGAGTTTACATAAATAATGGTACAGTAAAAATTATAAAAATAAATATTACATTAAAGGCAAAAATCCAGGTCATAAAATATCAATGACATACAAAACTGCTAGAGCTCATTCTGTCCTTGAGATTGCATGAGGAAAAGAAAAAAGAGATAAGATAAAGCTGTCCAGCACCCAACAGGTTTGCCTCAACATTAAATTGGTCTTTCTGTGTCTAAATGAATGTTACAAACCTGTGCGTCTTGCAGTAATTCCTCAAAAGGACTATGATCAGTAACAGATTGCCACTGGAAGGGTGTCTAGTTGACATAATCTCGCTCTTATTTTTTTTTACAGAAGCTGATGCAATTCTAGAGACAAATTAGCCCTTCAAGTGTCAGTGTCTGGAGTCTAACAATCCAATCTGATTCTTCTTTCAGTAGCAGCCTTTCATTTTTACAGGTTAATTTCTGCACAACCCAAAAATAAAATCAGAGTGACCATGATTATTTTCAATGAAGTGTTTAGCCAATGGGCCACTTGTTCTTTTCAATTTAGTATTGTTTTTATGTTCCGCTATGTGTGTTCTGAAGTTTCTGGTTGTTTTTCCAACATAAAGTTTATTAGAGGGGCGTTGGATGATATATATAACCTGTGTATAGTTAAATGTTGTGAAATCCTTTAGTATGTATTTTTTCTTATCTAAAGGGTTGATAAAGTATTTCATATTACATGTTAAAAATTACAATTTTCACAGGCAAAATATCCCTGAGGAAGACTAGTACTCAGTAGAGCTGTTCGCTGACTAACACATTTTTGGGTGAGACTATGGACTAGATGTTCCCTCAGATTCTTAGTTCTCCTAAAAGCAAAATAGGGGTTTTTTTAATCACATATAGAAATATTCTCTAGTAAATACCAATTTTTACAGATACTCTTTTTTAGACCCACACTTATTTTATTATCAGAAAGACTGCATATATCCAATAACAAATAGTTTTCCCCTTGTTCATTTTTTAAAAATTAATTTATTTAAATTTCTACCCCGCCCTCCCCACGAATGGGCTCAGGGCAGCTAACAAATGGGGCGCCATGTGCCAATACATAAAATCAATTAAAACTGGATAAAACAATAAATAACCAAACATTACATAAAGTGCTCAATGCTGTTACTCTTAAATCTAAACAAGATGGTATCGAATAGATGTTGCCTCAATCCCAGTACCACGGTACTGATCCGCCATGCCGCTGAAGTGCGATCGTCATAGGGCTGCTCCGTTCCCAGTTATCAGCCGGGTTCGTTGGTGGTGGTAGTAGTGGCGGCTCCTAGTCGAAAGCCTGGCGGAAGAGCTCCGTGTTGCAGGCCCTGTGGAACTGTACAAGGTCCCGCAGGGCCCTGATCTCCTCCAGGAGCTCATTCCACCAAGTAGGAGCCACCACTGATTGCAGCAAGCCGGGCCTCCCTAGGGCCTGGTATCACTAAACAATGTTGTGCCCTGGACCATAGTGCTCTTTGGGGTATATATGGGGAAAGGCGGTCCCTCAGGTATATTGGACCCTGGCCATATAGGGCTTTAAAGGTAAGAACCAGCACTTTGAAGCGAACCCGGTACGCTGTTGGCAGCCAATGCAGCACTTTCAACACAGGCTGGATGTGCTCCCATCTAGGGAGACCCACCAGCAGCCTGGCCGCAGCATTCTGCACTAGCTGCAGCTTCCGGATTTGCGACAAAGGTAGCCCCATGTAGAGAGCGTTAACAGTAGTCTAATCTCGAGGTGAGCGTCGCATGGATCACTGTAGCCAGGTCGTCACGGTCGAGGTAGGGAACCAACTGCTGAGTCAGCCTAAGATGGTAAAAGGCCGACCTGGCAGTGGCTGCTACCTGGGCCTCCATAGTTAGGGAGGAATCCAGGAGCACTCCCAAGCTCCTAACCGGCACTGGCACCAAAGGTGCCCCACTGAAGGTCGGGAGAGGGATCCCCAACCCCAAACCACCCCAACTCAGGCACAGGACCGTCATCTTCACAGGGTTCAGTTTCAGCCGACTCAGTCTGAGCCATCCAGCCACAGCGTACAAAGCCCAGTTCAGATCTTCTGGGCTGGAGTCCGACCGGCCGCCCAACATCAGTTAGAGCTGGGTGTCATCTGCATATTGATGACAACCAAGCCATACCTCTGGACAATCTGGGCAAAGGGACGCATATAGATGTTAAACAGCATCAGGGAGAGCACCGCCCCCTGAAGCACACCACATTCAAGCGGGTGTCTTCGGGACTGCTGCTCCCCTAGCGCCACCCTTTGTCCCCGACCCTGGAGAAAAGAGGCAAGCCATTGAAGGGCAAGCCCCTGAACCCCCATGTCGGTGAGGCGGTGGGTCAGCAACTGGTGGTCGACCGTATCAAATGCGGCTGACAGATCTAACAACAGCAGTGCCGCCACTCCACCTTGATCCAGATGCCTCCGGAGGTCGTCAGTAAGAGCGACCAGTACTGTCTCCGTCCCATGCACCAGGATCTAGGATGGAAGCGTCATCCAGGAAGCTCTGTAGCTGTATCGCCACCGCCCTCTCGATTAATTTGCCCAATAGGGCAAGTTGGACACCAGCCGATAGTTGGCCAATTTGGTCAGGTCCAAGGTTGGTTTTTTCAAGAGAGGGCGGGCCATCGCTTCCTTGAGTGTCTCAGGGAACTGCCCCTCACGGAGGGACTTGTTGATAATCTCCCTTAAGGCACCTCGAAACCCTTTATGGCCCACTTTGATAAGCCAAGAAGGGTACAGATCAAGGCTGTTGACTTCCTCCAGGCTGAGTGGGCTAAAATAATCCAGACCCAAAAGCAAAGGCTTGCAAGGGGCCTCGAGCTCACTCACTGTTTCAACTGTGGCGGGGAGGTCGTAGTGGAGCACCAAGACTTTATCTGCGGAATAGCTCGCAAATGCCTCACAGCCAATATCCAATTCCCTAGCATTTTGCCTGCCCTGTGGCAGAGTTGTTAAAGACCAAATCATTCTAAGCAATTTGGCCAGGCATGAGCTCGCAGACGCAATCATGGCCGCATAGAATTCTCTCTTTGCGGCCTTGACTGCCATCTCATAGGATCTCATAAACGTCCTGTAAGATGCTCTTGTAGCCTCGTCGCGAGCACAGCGCCACCGTCTCTCTAGCCGTCTCAGCTCTTGCTTCATAAGCCGCAGCCCCTGGGAATACCAAGGGGCCCGCCTGGAGTAATTTCTTCCTATCTAATGCCAAGGCTTTTCAGTAAGCAGACTGGAGTGTGTGATTTGGATAACCCCTACTACCTAAATTGTGTTTAAGAGTAGAAGCTTCCCTTCTGAAGTCATAAATATTTGACCAATTTCTTGTACGCTGCAAGAATTGGCTGAATGGTAAAACTATTCCTCATATGTTTAGGGTGGTGACTGTCATATCTCAAAAAGTTTTTATCTTTTTTAAAAATAAATATTTGTGTAATTTATATCCTGTTCCCTTATGACCATGACATCTACAAAACTAAGTTTCTTGTCAGCCACATGGAGGTAAAATTTAATATTTTCCATCCTCTACAGCCAGCCAAAAATGAAATTCCAACAAACTTCTGTGGTCGCCTTTCCATAATAAAAAGACATAATCTAGACATCACCACCATTTAATGATACAGCTATGGAAAATATTATCAACGAAATAAATAAACTTATCTTCAAAATTGCCCATGTATAAATTGGCAGCTTTTGGGGGCACTGAGGATACCATTGCAATGCCTTTAATTTGCAAATATAATGTGTCATTGAATGAGAAGAAGTTGTTTGTGAACACTATTTCAGCTAGAGAGAACAAAAAATGAGTTGAGGTATTCTTATTTCTCCCGTTTAAGGTTTATTTCTATAATAGATAATGCTTCTCTCTGAGGAATGTTAGTACAGAGTGACACAATATTGAGTGTGACCAAATGATTTCCCTATTTATATTAACTATACTCTCCAATTTGTTAATAAAATCAGTAGTGTCTCTCATATATGATGGCATTAAGGACACAAATGGTCTGAAGGAAAAAAAACCAATATATTTGGATATAAGGTGCAGGATATAGCTACAACCAGAGATAACAGATCTACCTGGAGGGGAAAGAATATTTTTATGTATTTTTGGTAGAATGTAGAATACTGGGGTTCTTGGGTTGGTATTATCAAGGAAATCGCTTTCCTTAGGGTTACTAGATAGTTTAATTAATGCCAGCCTCTCTTGGTTTACCCATCCAGATTTTAAAGTACATTCCAGTTTTTCTAAATCACTCCTTAGTCTTTCTTCAAACACTTGTACAGCAGGAGGAATAGCCCCAGAGGTATAAAGTGTGATACAGTATGGGAGGTTGTATACTGGTTGTACACTGTCTTTGAAAAAAGATCTTAATCTCAAGGTGCTGACAAGTTTGAAATCAGCCATGACAGCTAACTGGAACCTCCAGGACACCTCAGAAGACCAGATACTGGAGACAGGCCAAAGCCTTGCTGCTCAGCATGCAACACCCTGGTGATGCATCCAGGATGGCCGTTCTTATAACCTATAGTGGCAAAGTCTTGGCCAACAGAGACATAAAGATTTGTCAACCTTGAATACTTACTATAAGCAGCAAGGATGTTATGCTGCCAACAGCTAAATTGATAATCCTGTCCTGAAAGACAAAAGGAAAAACAATAGCATGAATCTCAACCTTTGCATTCTGCTATTTCTTCTATGAGGCACTTCATATGAAAAGCACCAACACAAATGGGCCAACCTCTGGTGCCAGTTGCAGTGGAAAGGGGGAACAAACAATTTAAAATCCAGAGGATAATCACGGTTAACACTGTTTGATGAAAAACCACTTGAAAGCACAGAAAGTGTGATTCACACCTGTGTGTCTATCACTTAGTGTCCAAAACCAGGAAATAATTTGGACATGGGAAAGAGGCATCAATAATCATAGGCAGTTCATACACTCACCTGCCGTATCCTGTTATTTAAACCCACCATATCCAGGAGGTAGTCAAGTGAAATCATTTTAGCAATAAATAACATACCATTTTTTTATTCCAGCAGAACAGACACCTTTTAAAAGAACCTTCAGGCTGGCTTTTCCGACTGCCGCTCAACTGGCAGGCAGTCCAATACACGAGGACCAAGAAAGCACTTGCAGCTTTGATGGAAACTCACTAGGGTGAGTTAAGGCCAGTCACTCTCTCTTGGTGTTACCCACCTCACAGGATTGGTGGTGGGAGAATAAAATGGAGAAGAAGAGAATGATGTTGTAAGTTGTTTTGAATCATTGCCAGAGAGAAAAGCAAGGCATAAATGGCTAAATAAGTAAACCCAGGAGTTGGCTAGCACCTTTATTTCAGCTTGAGGATCTCTTCAGACGCACGGAAGTCAACATCTATCAGCTTGGGTAAATACCCACCCGATATTTAAGCATCTATAGTGAATTCAGAACCCAATGTACCCCTGTTAATCAGGGGTGGGGTGGGTGGGCATGATCTCAGATTTGTGAATGAACTATAATTCAACAGTCTGGCATTGAATCCTACTTGTCAAGGAGAACAATGACCTTTAAATCAGCCACAACGTGTTCTGGGAGGTTCCCCCAGTGAACATTGTGGTCTCCAATGTCAGACTTGTGCCCACTTACTCTTTTGCACAGGAACTGTCCTGACTGACCAATGTAGAGAGCAGAAGGGCAATGCTGGTGCAGGATGAAGCCTGGAGCCTCACTAAGACTGCAGGCAAGTGCAGCTGCACAGCCATGGCAAGCCTGAGATGAAAAGGGTCCTTAACACAACAGCAAGCTAAGCCAGAGTTCACTCCCCTTCCTCTGTGCATTCTTAGTCTCACTTCAAGATCGCAAACCTCTCAAGAGGCCTTCCAAGCTAATGTACTGCATAATACATGGATAAGATCAGGCTGTGAGACAGTGTGTTCTCTATTTGGCCATCACTACTAGTCGAAGAAAAAGAGCCCCACATGAAGACGGGAGAAGAAATTCGCCCTTCCCAGAAGGTACTAGTTGCGAAGAAAAGTAGAGCAAGCAAAAATGGTTGAGGGGAGCAGGCCCAGCAGGGAATGCTGGACTCCCCCTTTGCCCATACACCACACAAGGCTGTAAGAACCAGTGGAGAAAGAGGTGGTTGCACAAGACTAATGAAGGGGATGAGACTTCCGGGCAACGTCGCGGGTGACCAGCCGGGACGTTCCCGGCGGTCCTCGACCTCTTCTGTGTTGTTGTTTTTTGAGGCTCCCAGGGTCCTTGTGACCACTGAGGCTCCACTGGACCTCTTGTAGGGAGATTGGGTAAGCAGGGGACTTGAGATTGCAGTAGACGAGGAGAGAGCGATTTGTCCTGAAACGGGAGCAGGAAGGGGAGCAGCATGGCCGCCATGTCTACTATAGTTGTGATCGCCCTTTTAAAAAAATTGCTGGATTTACAACATAAAAAAACACAGTAACCAAAACAAGAAAACGACTGTGTGTGGCTTCAACTAAAAACTGGCGAAGAACCTTACCAAAATAGCTCCCGCAGATATCTCCAATTTCGGAGGGAAAGTAAGCGGCTAAGAAACGGAACGGAGTCAAAGGTAAATAGAAGCTAATGGGGCTTGAATAAATATTGTTCGGGACTTATTTGATAGGTTGACACTGTAATGTGGCATTATCTTAATTGATAAGGTAATAAAACTAGAAGGACAAAGGATAAGTGAGACGAAAAGTACATGAAAGCATGAGTAAAATGGCGACTGTAAGGAAGGAAGAGGACGCACTAACAAGAGAAAACAAGGAGGGAGAAGACTTTGACAATATAGACGCACTAACAAGAGAAAACAAGGAGGGAGAAGACTTTGACAATATAGAAATTGGGCAGCTTACAATAGAACTATTTTAAAAACTTTTGCTAGATGAGATCCGACAAGCTGTTGAAATGGCTTCGGAAGGACACTTTGAAAGTCCCCGGAGTTCAGATCAGAAGCAGAGGGATGAAGAGGAATCATTGCAGAATTTACAGAGTACGGAAGAGGAGTGAAATTTTTGTTGGGATATTTGTAAAGAGAAGGAAATACAAGACACTCCACTTCTATTAAAAGAAAGAAAAAGGAGCAGTATTAGTCGAACAGGTAGACCCTCTAGGACACTCCATGGTGTTGGACTTGACTGAAGAAGGACCCAGAGAGCGAATACACAAAGAAATGGTGAGGGGGACTAAAAAGATAGAAAGGTGTTTGGCAAAGAAAAGAACCAGATGTAAGAAAAAACTGAAGTTGGATTTAACGAAGCTGAGATGGCAAATCAGAGAAATAAAGATTCAGGAATACAAAGAATTAAGGCATTTGATTGTGATTGTTAAAAAAAAGATGTCATTGAAAATGAAATAAATAAGCATTGTTTACTGTGTAGTAGAATAATTTCCAGTGTTTTTTATGCAAGAAGAGATGAAGAAAGTGTAACAGAATGAGATGAAAGTAACTGAGAAGGATATCTGGGTATGTTTGTGGTTTTTATAACGGCTGTTGCTAATTATTGTTTTTGCTCAATTAATCAGTGGCTATATAACATGATTAAATGATTTATAGCTAGAAAATGTTACCAATGATAATTCATGAGTAATCATAAGTAGATAGTGCAGGAGGAATTGTAGTAAGAGTTATGAGCTGAACTAAATAGAAGGTTTCTCTTAACTGATGAGATAATAAAGAGAGGTAGAAATGAAGAGTTTTTAATATGATGGGTGGCAGGTAAATGAGTTGGCTATTATTAAATTTATATCTATGTAAAATATGTATTTAATCTGTGCTTAAAAACATGATTAACTAATTTTTGGTTGGGAAACTTTACTAAGGTTAATAGGTAGATATGTAACAAATAGACAGAGTAGGAGGGAATGAAGCAAGAAGGAATTTCTTGAATAGGTTATATTTAAATGGCAAAATATAAAGAGATGTTAATGAAGGGCTACGAGAATAGTAGTATAACTTAATATGTTATAATTATGGTATGTTTTGGGAGATTAACAGAATAAAAAATGGGAGAAATGACGTTGCAGTAGCTGTTTAACTGTGGATGTTCACTATTTTTTGTATCTATATTTTTTATTATAATTATGGTATGTTTTGGGAGATTAACAGAATAAAAAATGGGAGAAATGATGTTGCAGTAGCTGTTTAACTGTGGATGTTCACTATTTTTTGTATCTATATTTTTATTATAAGGTTGTTACATATTAATAAAATATAGATTAAAATATAGATAAACATATAAGAGGGAAAGTAATAGTTACTTGACTAGAAGGATATCTCTATAAATATCTCTATAAATAGAATATGAAAAATGGATTTTCTATGAAATATGAGAAGTTTAGTTTAATATGGATCTCAAAAGAATAGAAAATTGGAGAAGTAATGAAAATGTAAATTTATAGAAAAGATGATCCCGTCTTTTTGTTTTTCGTGGCCAGACCATAGATTTGGGTTTTTATACATAATCCAAAATCCGTGGGGTTATGATTTTCAAAGTTATTGTGTTAAAAAGACGGGAAATATGCAATTGATAAGTACTGTTGAAATACTATGTTGTAGATGCTATTTGTCTTTGTTTGTTCTTTTGCTTATTTTGGAAAAACCAATAAAGAGATTGGAAAAAAAAGAAAAAGACTAATGAAGGGGGTGAGGCTGGTGGCCCCACCTCCAGTCTGGTTTCTTTACTGGCTTCACCTCAGCCTCCTCTTCACAGACCTGCTGCAATTCAGAAAGAGAACAGCCCTTCAGTTTCACAGCTAACTGTGGGAATAGGGAATAACTGAAGAAAGAGGGGGCAATGCCAGAGATAATAGTTGCTGCTTGAGGAGACCAGTCATCATTGGAAGGAGAGAAGAGGCACCCATAGGCAACGGGTGTGTGTGTGTGTGCGTGTGTACAAGTTTTGTTGGTCTGAGCTCTCTGTTTAAACTACTGAAGAGTTGAATGTGGCCCCCAGGTAATGGGGTGGCCAACCCTGCCATGGAGCCTGAATTACGCTCATCTAATATCTACACCATAAGCACCTTCCCTTTAGTCAGGGTTAGCAAACCTGCATCACCATCCTGACCACATTGACTCTCATGTGGGCAACATAGGTTTCAAATGGAACACACTCCCAAGGAAAGGTACTGGATTGCAGTGATCTCACTTCCAAATAGTATAATGCTCACTTAGAAGTATACGTAATGCCCTTTACCAAGTTAAAATAGGAACACTTGAGTCCTTGTGAACACACCTGTTTTCACACCCAGGGGCACTGCAAGGAGAAGAAGAAGAGTTGGATTTATGCCCTGCCCTTCAGAGTGGCTTTTTCCCTTCCTCTCCCCACAACAGACACCCAGTGAGGTAGGTGGCGCTGAGAGAGCTCTGAGAGAACTGCTCTTGAGAGAATGGCAACTGACCCAAAGTCACCCAGCTGAATGGGGCTCATCTACTTTGCATTTCCTCTTTTTCAGCCTGCACAGAACAGACTGCTGCAGAGAGAGTTTTCTTTTTTGGTTAAAGCCACACAGAAGAACATAGAACTACTGAGTTATCAAGAGTATGTTATAAGACAGTGAGCTCTACCTACAGCAGTCTGTAAAATACACACTGCATCTTCACATTCATGCAGTTACAAGTGCTTTGATGC